TGTGCAAGTGAGCTAGAGTGAACGATATTATTGGGGTAGCCTGAGGTCCATATTAGTTTATTTTTTATATGAACCAATAAAAAAAAAACCTTGCTTTTTAAAAGCTGTTATTAGTAAGAAATTCCTTGTGACACACCCCATGACCGGCTGCAGTAGAGTGCTGTGTTGTGGCCGTGAGGCGCCAGTTGTGAAGGATTGCTGTGGTAGCTGGTGGGAACTGCCTGTCATATTATTTGGAGGATAAGCAGCTTTTCTCTATCCCACTTTGGAGAGAGCTTAAAATCTGGAGAAAATAATTTCATTTCACTATAAGGCAGGATGTCTTATCAACAGTAGCAATAATAACAACAGCTATTTATGGAGTGCCAAGTATTTCCAGGAACTGTGTGGTATGCATATACATCTGTATAGAATACATAGGTAAAATAATCACATGTGTGCTGCATCACTTAAACAGCATACCATTGAATCTTCAACTATGAAACTGAGGCTCAGAGAGGTTAAGGAATTTGCCCAGCCTTTAAGAATTGTTAAATATTGGTATTGATCAGTTTAAGGTCAAAAAGCTCTACTCAAAATGTTGTAAAGCTGAGAAGAATGGTCTAGAAGGTTAATGATGACTTCCAGTTATACATGAGACAAGGAACTCCCAGAAAGAGTTCTGAGTAGTAAGTTTAGCCAAGCTCCGTATGAGGTGTCTTTTGATCTTCACTTAATGGTTGCGTACCAAGAGCAGTATGTTCCTAATGTTTGCTATTTACTGGAACAGTTCAACTTGGTCATGCGGTATGGTGAGGAAGGGGAACAAAACTAAACTTCTGAATTAGATAAAAAGACCAAGTCCCAGTGTCACCTCTTCCTAGCTCTCTAACTTTGGGTGAGTGACTCAGCCTCTCTGAGCCTCAGTTTATGGGGATGCTGCTGACGGTACCACCTACCTCTCCCAGGGTGGTTGCAGGAGGGGATGTGGTAATGCCTGACCTATTACAAGCCCAAATACATGTTAGATATTGTTAATTTCTATAAATTCATTAGATTATCGTTGAGAAATCATGATTTACCCACAGAATGGAGTGATGGGTACAACTCTTGTACAATGATATTCTTTAATTCTTTGGGTTAATGGGCATTTCTCTCTGGACTGGTATCTCCCAAAATAGGTCCTGAGGAATAAATGAAGTGCTAAGAATGCCATTGTCTACATTCTTGTTCCTTTTATAATTAAAAGTAAAAAGCGAAGCTTTTACAGAAATACAGTGCTAAACGACAGCCCAGTCCAAGGACCACTTGGCTAATTAGCACCCTTGCGTTCCAGGATTTCCTGACTCCCCGCTGCCACTTGTTGTCAGCTTCTTGAAACTGCAGAAATTTGCCTGTGCAGGTGTGGAGCGCCTGCTTGAATTACTTAGGGTGCATGAGAGAGCAAATTATTTAGGCAATAGAGCTGAAAATGTGGGCAAATTAGAATTTTTCATAGCGAGATTGTTCATTGTCAAGCCAGTTCGTGATTGTATGTGTGCGTCTTGCTTCAGATATTCCACTACACAATAAACCTCTTTGCTGCAATGAATATGTATGTGGACTAATTTAATCAATATACTTGTGACAGCAGTGGTGTCTGACAGAACTCATCCTTTGAAATGCTGGCTGAGTTAATGTGTGCAGTATATACGTGGGCCAAGACTCATAACTTGTGTTTAAGGAAGATTACTTTGAAAAGACACAACACTGCCTGTTAGAAAATGGAAAAAGCCTCAGGAATGGAAAGCAAAGGGCAAAGGGCTTTTTGTCCTTTTCTCTCTTACTGCTATGAAAACTCAAATTTTTGAAACTAAACTGTCTTCCGTCTGAAAAATTTGCAAGGCATTGACTACATTCTTTTTCTCATTGATACATTTGAATTCTACAAGTTGACTAAAAGGTGGAAGGAGGTGGCTTTTGTACATTGTTGGATTAAATGGAAAGTTGAGTAAGTGCCCTGCTCCAATCTGCAAATGTTTGCTTTTTGGAAATATCCACACATGTGATCAGATCAAATTCAGAGGGTTTGCTTTTTGGAGTAGATAGATTTTAGTCATTTCCTAAGGAGCACTTGTCACTGACATTGTCATCTGAGATAAGAGAGCCACCCAGGCGTGAGCTAGTGATGTAGTTTATCCCGACCAATCAGAATACCTGAACCTTGCTATAGAGAACCCTCCGTCATCTTACCGTGACAGTCCTAGTGAAGCTGTTCTAACTAATTCTGATTTCTTTGGCCAACATTGCCCACTGAAACTAAGCATAAACATAGTGAGGGGCTGGAGGCACACAAAAGTCTATACAAATGGCCCTCTGCTTGAAAATATAGGTCAATCTACAGTGAGTCCATTCATACTAAACATCTTGGCCCCAGTAAATTTTGTGAAATATGTCTCAGCTTGAGTGCCCCCCAGATCCGAGAGACCCTTGAAGACGAGTTTGGGGGCCTGATTCGGGCCAGTAGGTCCTGTTCACACTCTGGGTTTGTGCTACAGTGACCTCCACCACCACCCCCCACTCCCCTGCCAAGCCAGGAGCCATTCATTCCAAGGGCACAAGTGCCGGACCAGGATGGCACAGGGCACCCCCATTGTGAGCAGACCCCTCCATGTCACTGGCAGCATTACAGGAGCCATTAGCAGGCATTTTGCTCAATGCCTTAAACATCATTTTACTTCTTGTGGGTAATCCACCAGGAGACCAGGCCGACAGAAGAGCAATACGTTGTTTTGCATCTGATCCAGATACGGTCTTACCCAGCAATCCCCATATGGCCTGTCCAGGTCCTTCATGTCTTACAAAGAACTAAATAGATATGGTTGGTCTCCCCACTGTTATGATGGGATGAAGATAACTCCTGAATGGTCCAAGTTACCATTAGTGGTGCTTTAATTGCTTCAGCTGGTTTTGATGCTGACTTAAACTCTAGGACCTAACAAGGATTGTCTAAGTCTGATTTCTGTGATTATGGCTTGAGTTGAGACATAAGCTGAAGCAGCTCAGAACCAGTCTTCTTTCTTGCACATATGAATCTTGTTTAATAGATGGTCCAAGTATTTTGTGTTGCCCAATTATTCTGTTCCTTAGGGGTTGGGGTGGGGAAGGCTGGTTTAGACTATTACAGACTAGTTAATTCATCAGGGAAAATCCAGGCAATAACTTTCAGCTGATACACCTTTCAGCCTCTGTACTACCATTTGGCCTTTGTGAGTGTCTGAAAATGTTGGGCACAACTATCTCTCTAGAGTTAAAGACAATCTGTGGCACAGACTTTGCCTTGACTATATTAAAAATATTAAAGGGGCCCTAAGTGTGAAACATTATTCAAGTTCAGGCTTTATAAAGAATTTTCCTTGAAGAAGTCAAGCTAGGCTATAAAATGAGGAAGCCAACTTGGAGATGACCATTTTTGTTAAATGTGATCTTATACCATATAATTCAGAATAGATATATTAGTGTACAAAAACACCATGACTCGGGTATTATCAAGCTTCAGGATTATGGAAAATACATTGGATGTGAGATTTTGAACAATCTCTATCTGGACAATGAAACTCAGTATGCCAAGACTCTTAGTGATTGATAGAAAAGGATTTGCACTCCCAGAAATCACCACAGTATTGGAACTAGTTCCCTTGAAGTTACCAGGTACACATGCTTTACAATGACATTAAATCCAGCAATTTAATGTTTGCTCTAAATATTGAATATAGCATCGCACCAAATCCCAAGTAAGTGGTTGTGGAAATTATCCCAGGATAAGGAATTGCACTGGAAGAAAGAGTGGGCTGTATGTACATGTGTATTACTTACATAGTGCAACATATTTCTTAGGCAAGAACTTGCTGTGTGTAAGGCATGGAGTACAGAGGGGCTGTACAAAAATGAAATAAATGCACTTGGGTACTTGCAGTTCCATTTGTGTGGGTGACTTAATAGTCTGACATGATATTCTGTAGAGAAAACCATGTAAAATAAATTTAGCAAATGGAACATTCCAGGTGAACTGGTGAGCTTTGCCATCCTGTATATACAATTTAGTGTTGGTCTTCTTTATTTTGCATGTAGATTATATGTAATAGGTGGTCCAAGTATTTGGTTTTGCCTAATTATTCTATTACTTAGGTTATTTTTTTAATCCTTAATGATGCTCTTTCCAAGTCTGCTTGAGATGTACTGTTTGCTCAGAAATGTGCTTTGTCATATTTGAGAACTTTGGTGTGTGATCTATTAATTATTTGGTTAGTCTTCCAGCATGAGGCATCTTTAAGTAATCAGTTAGGTAGAAACACATGCACGCTGTACCAGGAAATCAATTGCCAATGTTAAGAACTCAGAAGCTTACATATTCTATTTGTCAGGATTCATTATCATTGAATTCAGATAGGATATTAACCTTATGGTTGAAAGATTTTGATCATATGTAAATGGACTAATTTTTAATACATGGCAGCCACAGTAATTAAAAGAAGATGAGTAAGGAATTCCTAACTTATCATCACATATAATTTATGAGTATTTTGAATTGAATCATTTTCCTAAGTTGTCCTGACTTTCTGGAGTACATTTTTCTGTACCAGTCAAGCTACAGTGCTCAGCCAAGACAGATTTATGACCTTTTAAAAATAATGATGGAAAATGAGATCGGAAGAAACATTTTAGGACCCACTTTTCTCTGAGGCCTAAACTGCGAACTCTCCAGTTCTTGAAGGCTTTGAAATGCTGATTCCAGTCTTCTTGCGGGTTCTTAAACACCTTCTCAAATGACCCATTTTAATAACCCGAAAGCTATTATATAACGAGCAGCCATAATTTAGTCCAGGGCTCTAGGGGAACCCTCACAGTTCAGCAATGAATAGTTAATGCAGTATAATGTTTAGCAGGTTATTAGTTTTCACTATACAAATGCTGATCAGGGAACGCTTTTATAAGGTGTTTAAAAGAAAATGTAATTAACTGGGTGCGTGCTTCTGTTGCAGCTCAAATTGAAATTATTCCTTGCAAGATCTGTGGAGACAAATCATCGGGAATCCATTATGGTGTCATTACATGTGAAGGCTGCAAGGTAAGCCTTCTTAATTGTTGTTGTTTCTATTAATGTTAGGCTATATTTTTGTGATTTTACTTTTACTCTGCCTAAAAATTCAACTCCTTGCCACTTTGAGTGATGAGAAATCACAGAGCTAAATAGATATCCTGGTGTCAAATTACAAAGAAGGAAATTATACATATTTTTTATGCCGTCCATCAAAATAACAGGAGGCTAGAGGGGTTTTTGAGTGTTGGTCATCACTTCCAGTTGCAGAATTGATTGAGCTGATGAAGAATCTCTTCGATTATCTTTTCTGAGAGATGAATTTAGACTTCTGTAATGTCCTTGTTGTAAGCCTTATAAGAAGGCATTTCCAGTAAGTTTAATCAGAATGTGATTGAAAGCCTTATTCTTGGCACACAAATGTTGACACATCTGGCCAAATTATGGCAAGACTATTGGAAAGACCTAAGTTCTGGTCCTGGCTCCGCCACTTGTCCCTATTGTTTTAGGCATGTCTTAATCTTTAGTGACTCAGTTTCTTCTTGTATAAAGTGGACATAACACCTGCTCTTCCTAACTTTTAGAAGTATTCTAAAGATAGAATGGAAAACTGTAATGGTAAGTCTTTATAACCTGAAAAGTGCTATTTTTGATCTACATATTATTGCTCTTATTGCTGTTGTTACTCTTTTAATCATTACTGACACTGATCTCAGGGCAATGTGTTGAGCACATGTATATTGTGAGAATGGGAAATAGAGATGTTTATCTTAATCATTCAAGACCCCCAAACCCAGATTGGCTCTGTTATTCAAATTTCAATTTATTAAGATTTAAATCCTCCTGCTTATATTGGAAGGGCCTTGAGACAGCTTACAGGATAAAACAGTGCAAAATAAACAGGCGAGAAGCTATTTAAATATGCAGGGGGCCTCTGAGACAGCTGATTGCCAGTGAGCCAGGCCTGAATTAGCCCTGGAGCGTTTTGAGTCTGAGGCAAAAAATGAAATCTATGAATTTGGTTAGATTTCCTTTAGTGAAATTAGAAAATATAATGTCGTAAAATACAAAATCACCTTCAGGCACAAATAACTAGAGAGACTTCAGGGAAATCCACCTTCTAATTTCCTTAAATCTTTGTTTTACTGTTAATCACTGAAACACTTGCCCCTTTTACATGTACAAATGCTTCACATTGACCCCATCTTGGTGAAGCTTGAAATTTCTGCACACCACCGAGCCCGTGTAGTCATTAAAAAAAAAATCATCTGCCTTTTAGGAATGGGGGGCTTGCTACATAATGGGGGTTTTGAATTGTTCATCTCTGTGGTAACCCTCAAAGCCTTAGGGTTCTGAAATACCAAGAAAAATAAAGGCCCTTTTATTTTCTCAATGTGCCCTCCCTCAAAATAAAGTTAAATTAATTGAATACATAAAACAAAATCAAATTGACTACATGGCCTGTGTCATCCCCGGATTTGGGGAAGAGTGTGGTCTGCCCGTGACGTGCGTCACCCCGTTGATTTTCCAAGGAAACCCAGCTGGTGTGGCTGCGCTCTGTCACAATGCACTTGCCCTGTGTTCACACCTTCTTGTCCCGGCCAGAGGGCATGGGCCTCATTGACGAAGGGACATAGAAAGTGGGGCTCCCCTACCAGGAGTTCCAAGCAAACTTGATTTTTGTGCGTTGTGTATCACCTCGGTGTTGTCTGACGTGGACAGGGACCCAGGCATTAACCGTACGCACCTTCATTCGGCCCAAGAAACTGGCCGCCCTTTCTGAGTATCTCAGTAATGGCACGTGTAGGTTCCTGTGGCAAACCAAAGTGAGTGCACAGGAACGGCAGCCCCGGCAGGACCAGGGTTGGGGTGGAGGCTGCTTCGTGTGAAATACCCCAACAATTCAGAAGCTTTGCAATGTACTATTCCATAAAATCTGAATTGATTGTCTGAGTACCACTGTGTTTACTTAGGCATGAACAGTGCGTGTTTTCTTTTTACCCCCGATGTTTATTTATGACAAGCATAGAGCAGTAAGAAAAAACAGGGCCGCTAATTTTTCAGTTGTCGTTTTTCTGGAGTCCATTCCAGATCTTGTACAGCTTCAGTGCCAGAGTGGTTTTTCATTCGCCTCTGGGTCTGTTCCTCTGTCTTATTGACTTTATACAATGGAAGTCACTGAAACAAACAAATAAAACTTAATTTTATTAACAGATTGGGCCTATGTCCAGCCTGGCATCTATACAATGGTATGTGTTTGTAGGTGATGCATATAGTATTTGCTCTGCATGAGAGTTTCTCTCTGCTCTACCTCACATTTTATTTTTAGTCGTGGTGAAATCAAGGGACTTCTGTTTTTGCCATTGATGTTAATGATTTATCTATCATGTTCTAACCAGGTGAAGGTGGTTACCTCATGACACGTTGTAAATAATTTATTTCTGTGGTAGTATCTTTTGACATAAGGAAAATTTCTAATTAGATATCTAATGAAGGGAAAGAGAGTTAGTCATTTTCTGCGCTAATCATTTTGTGAATGTATTTTGAATTGCATTGTAAAATCAACAACCAGAAACCCCAAGGAATTAGAGAACCTGTTGAACTGCTAAAAATGATTGTCTATTATATCACCAATCTGCTCAGGTGAGCATTGCACAGGAATGGCAAACACGGCGGTGCGGCGGGGGTTTTGATAGCTCCTGCCCAGATTCCCGGGCATTCCTAGTTCACTCTTTCCAAGTCCCCTTTGCTTTGTAGAGAGATTGTCCTGCTTATGCTCTGACTCTGAAAGCAGACTGCCGGAGTTTGCCTTTTTTAAATTGAAATATAGTTAATATACAACATTATATCAGTTTCAGGTGTACGACATAGTTATTTGGCAACTCCATACATTACAAAATGCTCACCATGATAAGTATAGTTACCATCTGTGACTACACAAAGTTATTACATGGTTGACTGTATTGCCTATGCTGTGCTTTTCATCCCCCTGATTTATTTATTTTATAATTGGAGTTTGCACCAATTTATCCTCTTTACCTATTACACCCTTCCCCTGTGGCAACCACCGGTCTCTTTGTGTCTGAGTTTATTTCTGTTTTGTTCATTTGTTTTTGTTTTGTTTAGATTCCACATGTAAGTGAAATCATAAGCTATTTGTCTTTTTCTGTCTGACTTATTTCACTTAGCATAATACCCTTTGTCCATCCACGTTTCTCACAAATGGCATGATTTCATTCTTTTTTATGGCTGAGTGATTTTCCATTGTGGATATGCACCACATTGTTTTTATGCATTCATCTAACAGTGGACACTTAGGTTGCTTCTACATCTTGGCTATTGTAAAGAAGGCTGCAAAAAACATAGGGGGTGCATATATCTTTTCCAACTAGTGATTTTGTTTTCTTCAGGTGAATACTCAGAAATGGAATTACGGGGTTGTATAGTATTTCTGTTTTTAATTTTATGAAGAACGTCCATGATGTTTTCCACAGTGGCTGCACCAATTTACATTCTAACCAGCAGTGCACAGAGGTTCCCTTTACTCCACACCCTCGCCAACACTCATTAAATCTTGTCTTTTTGATACTAACCATTCAGACTGATGTGAGGTGACATCTCAATGTGGTTTTCATTTTCATTTCTCTGATTAGTGCTGTTAAGCATCTTTTCATGTGGCTGTTGGCCATCTGTGTGCTGTCTTTGGAAAAATGTTTATTCAGGTCCTCTGCCCATTTTTTAATCAGATTATTTGTGTTTCTGGTATTGAGTTGTGTGAGTTCCTTATACATTTTTGATAGTATTAACCCCTCATCAGATATATCTTTTGCAAATATATTTTCCCATTCAGTGGGTTGCTTTTTCATTTTACTGATGGTTCCCTTTGCTGTGCAGAAGCTCTTTAGTTTGATATAGTCCCACTTCTTAACTTTTGCTTTTGTTTCCCTTGCCTGGGGAGACATATCCAGAAAAAAATTGCTAACACTGATGCTTAAGAGTTTACTGCCTATGTTTTCTATTAGAAGTTTTATGGTCTCAGGTCTTAATTTTAGGTCTTTAACCTATTTTGAGTTTATTTTTGAGTTTTGTGTAAAACAATGGTCCATTCTTTTGCTCATAGCTGCAGACTGCCTGGGTTTGAATCCCAGGTTTGCTTTTTACCAGTAGAACAACCTCTCTGTTCCTGTTTTCCCATCTGTAAAATAAGGATAGGAATCGTAGTGACTTTATAGGATCATCACGGGCATGCCGGTAAAGCACCTAGCGGAGTGCCCATCTGTAACAAGCACTCAGGAAGTGTCGGCCCGTCTCATTATCATTCCCAGCCAAACTCCTTATGCTGGGGCCTGCTGCTCTCTATAGCCAGAATTATTTCCTGGGTACCTATGGGTCCAGTCTTGATTTTGTGTCCATTTGCCATTTGTTACGTAGAATCTGCCAGCAAAACCCACAAAAATCTGAGCACATCCTTGGGCCCAGGCACCGTATGGGCACAGTAAGAGATCCAAAGACCGAGAAGACCTAATCCTTCCCTCAAGCTGTTTAGAGTCTACTTGCAGAGACTGAGGCCTGCACAGGAAAAGCTAAATAGCAACACAAGAATGAAATACTAAATTTAGTAAACCAGAAACATTTTTTTAATTTTTAACAAGGGAGTTCACAAAGAGATCCACACACATGTGGTCAATTGAATTTGGACTCAGATGCCAATTTCATTCAATGAAGAAAAGATGGTCATTTCAAATAATATTGCTGAAACTACTAGACATTCATATGAAAAAGAAAAAAATTAAACTTCAAATTGCTACCTCTCGTTGATAGCAAATACTAATTTTTAAAATGTCATAAGCATAAAATTTAACTGTAAAATTCTAGAGGAAATCACATATTTTTATAACAATGGACATGCAGATATTTTTCAGGCATCACACAGAAAGGCCTAGCCTTGTTTTATTAAGTAATAAATGAGACTTCAGCAAGATAAAAAATTTCTACTCTTCAAAAGATATCATTAACCAAATGAAAAAAAC